TCAGTTATGACAGCTTTATTTTTCTAACAGGGTGGTTAGCCTTTGTAAGGAGTTGCCTTCAGATGTGTTGGATGCAATTAATTTAAGGTAATTTAAAGGAAGGTTTTATAATTATTTGAATGATTAGGGCTGGTTTTCTGTATTTAATATTTAGTTGACAGCTAAGTTAGTGGATGAAATGGCCTAGATGGATCAACAGGTTCATAAATGTATGTATGTATTTATATGTATGTGCCCACAGCCCCAAAATACAGGGCAAATGTGTGGTAATGGGATACAAACCATAGACCTTTGGATTCAAAGTGCAGCATGCTAACATATACACCATGCCCAGATCCAGTAAAAAAAATATCTTAAATTATCAGTAGTGGTATTTGATGCATGACGAAAATAACATCAATTTTTTTACTCTCAAAACGTTTCTGGTAAAAATTAAGAATTTTTTGTTTCACTGGACAATTTTCAACCAATAAAAACTGTTAAAAACACGTTTATTTATCTATAATAATGAAGAACAAATAGTTTTATAGGAATTCTGAAAATAATGTTTTAATCTCATCAAAACTGGTGAGGCTTCATTTACAATGCTGTGTGTATAGTTTTTATGCCCCCAGTAGGTTCAGAAGATATGTTGAAGGAAACACCCAAATCGATGGTTAGATACTTACTGCAATATCATGGCAAGTGGATATTAATATTAAAAAAACAAAAGTTATTAACTAATAAGTAGACTTAGGTGATCATATAAGCTGTTAACCATGAGAACGAACCCTGGTTTGAATCATTTACACAGTAAAGAAAGGCTTAAAGATTTAGGCTTATTTTCTCTGGAACATAGAAAAAGTAAATGTTACTAAGAATAAAAGCTTGGATATTATGGACGTAAGATAACAAGAGTTGCCAACTCTTGAAAATTTTGAAGAGGAATTTTTGTAAGGGCTGTACATATGATTTAGGTACTTTTTTTACCCCCCCCCCCCATCAAAACTTGGTCACATGGATGACCTCTAACCAAAGTAAGTGAACACTTCAATAACAGTTAGTAGGAAAACATAAACACATTTTATCTCTAAGTAGGACAGGTCAACCCAAAAGATGTTTAATTTCTGTTAGCAAAAAAGAAAGTACCAGATCCCTATCGACATTTTGTGTGTGTGTGTAGAATTTCAGTTTTAAAAAATAACATAAGCAATATTGATGCTAGAGATTGGAGAGAGTAATGAAATGATTAGATCTGTCCAATATCAATCTCTAATACCATCAAGGTGGTCTTAAAATTGATTAGTTTTTCTGTCTTTAGGTTTAAAAACAAATCCAAAATTGGTATTCGGATCTCTAGAAGAATGTAAGCACTGATTTTAGGTTTGAATCATTTACATCCTAAAGAGAGAGGCTAAAAGTAATGGGATTGTTTTCTCTGGAACACTAAAGGTGAGCTTCAAATATAAACTGGAATATCATGGATGCTAAGCAGTGCTTGATATCTGTAAAAACAAGTTTTAGATCTCACATCTTGAGAGATTTGGCACCGATTTTAGGTTTGTAAACTCATTTATACTGTCCCATTGAGGAAATGAACTTTCACTTATAATATTATGACGTTGTGAATGTTTATATGAAGATGCATTATGCAAATTTGTTTAAATTATTTTAAAGTTGTTTATTCGATAGGTATGTGTATGAAAAGGTCTACAGTTAATGTGGTTTTGACTGCTTGTTTTAGTGGGTTAAGGGTAACTTTCTGTCACCTTACTTTTTATGTTCTCAACTAATTCTCCAGGAAACTGAAATCATGAATGTAACAAAAATAGAAAATTTTGAGAACAAGTATCACACCGTGAGTTTGCACCCAACTTGGTATCTCACACTTAATAGACCAGTATTCTGTACCCATTCCTTCAGAAAGCCATTGATCAACGAACCAAAACACTGGCGCACACAAAAGTATAATTATTATTATTTTCACCTAACTAATAATAAAAGTTATCAAACTAGATTCCATAATAAACTGAACAATAACTTAATATGCCAAAATTTCAGCTCAAACGAATTGGAATAAAACAAGATATCTTTAATAAAAATTTCTGAGAATTTTGATAAACAGTTTAAAAATTCAGTTAATTAAATTACGAGAAATTAAGCCAATGTTTCGAAACACAATTATAATTTATATATATATATATTCTTGTATTCTACATGAGTCTACAACTACAAACACTCGAAGCCAATTACGGTTTTTTTCACTTGCCTTTGTACTTGTATTCGTTTAAAGTTTATATTAACACTAACAGTATGTTTGGTGATAGACTTATGAACGTGTATTTATCGTTCCTATGCTTAAGTTAGGGTTAAGTAGTTTGTTCTTCATTTAAAATAAGATACGAACATTTAAGACGATCACTTTAATTATAACTTATTGTTGATGAAGACTTTATAATTTATTTCAGTTTGAATATATACTCTACTTATAGCATTTACTTTCATGTATTAATAAATAAGTTAGCAAGTATATATCAGCCTCTTTGTCCAAAAACATCACTTGCTGCTCTTATAGTGCCCTCTACAGGGTTAAACTATTACTATTCACAAAGAATCAGCATCACTTAAAAAAAGGAACTTAACACTCTTTCCACTATTTTTAACAATTCTTTCTCTTTCAACGTATATATATATATACATATATATATATATCGCTTTTAACATTGTTTAGAAGATAATTTATGTTATAGATGTAATATTACTATATACACTGTGCGGTAGACAAATTTTCCGTAAAAAATAAAACAAGCCTCACGTGTAACACTGACTTATGTTTCAACGCTCTGGTGTTACTCTACCTGTAATAATGACCCATATTTGTAACTTTACATGTAGCAAAGACGTGTATTTCAATACATGTAGTTCTAAGAACTGATGAGCGAAAGTAAAGAATATATTACAATAAAATGTCAACCATACTATATACACCATATCCTATGACAACGAGGCCTTTTCGTGGACCAAACTCTCTTGTACTTTTCTTAACATGTGTGTAAAAATAAGATGCATAACTTGTAGGATCCACAAGAGGGTTTAAAGACCAGTACGCATTACATATTTTCAGGGCTAACTCCAGGTTATAAATACTTTCTCTCGGCAGGGTCGTATAAGAATCCTAGATTAGGGTTATGTTGTAGGCTAAACCACCAAAGACAACAAGGTGTTAACTACAAATATAATTTTTTCTTCTTAAATATATATACTTTTGTTGATGCAACGTTTTGGGCAATGTCCTTCTTCCGGTAAATTTCCAATTCAGCTACAGAAACACGAAGAAAGGCATTGCAGAAATGTCGTATCAACAAAAATATATATTACGTAATTAACACCTTGTTGTCCTCGGTGATTCGCTTAGATTTTTAGTCCTGGTGGTGGTAGCAGAAGTTATTCTTTTTTAAATTTTATTGTGTAATGTAAACGCTGTTTTGTCTATATTCTTAAATAAAGTTTATTGCACAATGTTGCCCTATTCACATTTTATAATTGGATTAAAGATGTATTACTAACGTCATTACCTTCAAACAACGTCACTCCTGCCATTTTTTTAAAAATCAGTTGTAAAGTTAGTGTGTTTGCGGTTATTACTTTCAAAGTTTTACAATAAACATGAATAAACCAGTGATTTAAGCAAAAAAAATCAAGGTAGTAAATCATGTTTAAATGAACTCATTCAAATAGTTGAATATGTGACCATTTCTTCATAAACATTATTCATTGTTTTCGGGTTTTTTTTTATAGAAAATCTGGAAACTGTATAACTTATTAATTACGTGTAAAATACCTATTTCTGATGAAAACTATTCGCGAATTTGTTCTAGTGTTAGTTCAAAAATTCCAAACGCACAGAAAGACAGGAATTTCTTGTGAATACCATTTTAAAGGAATGAGAAGAGAACTAGAAATTTTAAAGGGTGAGAACATAACATTTCTGAGCTTCAAAGTTTTTCAACTAGTTCAGCATTTGCTCTAGTTTTCCGTGCACGTATAAAACTGTTATAATTTCTAAGCTATGTTTCAATTTTATTAATTAATTTGTAATAATTATAAAAGGTCATTATTTGTTTATTATTTTAACAAAACCAAACTTTTACTTTATTGTACAAATACATGCACGATAGAAGGTGATATTGTTCTGTGCTCAATATTCCAGCAAATTTTACCAACACCTTGGTAGATGGCGCTTATGGTATTTCTTTAAAAAAATATCGATTTTTTTTAATTTTTTGTTTTCTACTTTTTATTTAATATATTTTATAATTTAGCTAAAAAAATTAAAATAAACATATATCTTAACTTATTAAAAGCTGATATTATACCAAAGTTATCTAAACAATAAATTAGTTTCTTTAAAATTTATAGTGTTTTTGAAAACAATCTAAACTTGTTTCACGTTGGTTGAAATTAGTTGTGTGATAATTTGTATCTCCTTGATTTTAATTTTTGTACATACGCGTAGTTATTCACACAAACGCTTCCTTCTAATCAAGTTTATTTATTACTAAAGCTAGTCAGTCAGTAAAATAAGTTTTTGAAATATATTGTGTTATTTTTGAAGATTATTAATTGAAAAGCTTTAATTATACTGTTATAGTTTTGTATAAAACTATCTCGATTTTTTAAAAGTTAAATTTCATTTAAGTTGTAAAATACATCTAATCTGTGTCTGAAAGTGAAATTTTCATATGTATACGTGTTTGAAGGACGCAATTAGATTAAAATTAGACCGTTAAATTACATTAACATTAAGACTGTCTACGTTAAAAGGTTAATCTCATTCGTTTTAATGTTTTGCTTGTTTACAACTTATATTCTGATTTTATAAATTTTTCAGTTTTATATGAAAATTACTTTAAATTTCTTGTCACCCTGGTGGCTCATCGGGTTTCGGTAAGCGTTTAACAAAAAACAAAAATAATGTATATTTTCGGCGTGTGTGTCTTCAGCTGAACAAATTAAGGCCATTTAGACATTACTTAATATTTTAATCGGCTTAACATTGCACTTACAATTTTTATTGATTGTAATTTATTATTATTTACAAATGAACAAACCCTAAAAATTTCACAACAACAACAACAACAAAAGGGTCACAATTAATTTTACAGCTAGCCTATATCATGTGAAAATTTGGTACTGCGAGCCGAAACGAAACCGGAGTTTATGAATCTTGTTTTGTATGGTTTGTTGCTGAATTTTATAACATTTGAGTGACGCTTTAAATATTTTGTTTAAATTTATCTCGGACGAAATGCACATCTCTTGAGGTTATCGTATCGATATACATCACGAACTAACGAAAATCCTTTACGTTAGTGATGAATAAATTTAGAAACAAGAAGCTACCGTCTTAATTATAACTAGTAAACATTTATGTACTTAAATTACGTACAATATACTGTTTCACGCTAACAAAGAACCACGCAAACAGTAACCACTACGCATAGTAAAACACACTTCAAACGACAAAAAAAACAACAAAAAACAAGTTATTATTTCAGTCTTTTATCAAACTTTTCACAAAACGACGACAACTTTAAAATAAGCCTTTTACTAAAGCTGTAATACTAAACGTCGAAGAAAATGGGCAACGATAAATACCATATACATTCTTCGGGGCCCATGATGTCAATCTTAGAATACGAGGAAGGTTTAGAGAAACACGACAGCTTTGTTATCTATGCTATATAAACAAAATTCAAAGACAACCTGCTGTTTGTAGCTCGTAAGCAACCTTATCCGGTGATGTACAAGTGAAGCCTACAATCATGAACGCACGTTTAAACTAGTTTATCTCCATCTCACACCGGTGTTTCTTAAAATGGCGTACGTATCCTTCAGCGCGTACAGATTACTATATGTTATAACAGATTTATTTGATGGGAAGAGACAATGTAAAAACAAGTGTTGTTACTGGAACGTTTGGGTCTTTAGTAGTGTTAGGTCGTAAATTCTAGTTTCGATCATATTTATCTCCCTCTTTAGCGCTGTGAGTTTGGAAAATTTTTCATCCCTCCACACCGTTCGCCAGTCTCAAGTTTTTGATAAATAATGAAATATTAAAAGACGCGTGTTTTACTGGGTATCTTAAAATAGCCTGGTACTGGGAGAGTGGTTTATCTATAAACTTAAATGAATTTATTATATTTTTCATCACGAATCGTTGAATGGTCTCGTTTCCTGTAGTAGCGGCGGGGGGGGGGGGGGGTGATGATCGCTACACTATACAGTTACACAGACATTTTACTAACTGTACTGTTGACCACCTCATAATACTAACTGTACTGTTGACCACCTCATAAAACTCCGCTATCCCGTATCAGTTATAATTTAGACTTATAACTAAAGCAGTGTAAAGCGACTTAAGGAAAACTGCAGAAAATATTTAGGGTTATTGTCATGATTACAGGTGTTTTCACGTGTACACAACTTTACGAAACTATTTTCAATCGGCTGCCTAGAAATCTTAATAATAAGGCCAAAAATAGCGAAATTCATATAAAGCTCTGTGCTATGTATATAGTTGAGCAAAAATAATCAAGATTAGCGCGCAGATATAATGTCAGAGGTCATTTGACCCCATAAAGCCAACCATGGCGCAAAATGCTATATGATGGCCACGTGGCTTCTTTTTCGAGAACATCATTGGATTACTTAGACTCTTCATCATCTGGTGGGTGTTTGGCCAGCGTCATAAGGATCATAGTCAGCTCCTTCTTGTTGATCTTCCCGTCTCTGTTAAAGTCACATCCTCGTAAGATGGCATCCTGGAATTCCCCGAGATCTTGAGCGTCATAGTCCTAAAATGTAAAGGTGAATTATCTCTCTCTCTCAAACAGTTTTTTTTTTTCCCTAAAAGGTACCTTATTTGTGTCTTTGAATAAAGTATAAACAATGACATACGCGCTTGACACGTCCCAAATCAAGTACTTCGGTGTAAAAACCCAGGCCTATTTTAGTGTTCCAAACAACAGAATTTTAAAGTTGTCTAGATATCAAACATAATTTAATAAATTTATGGAAATTGTTCATATTACAAATCAATGTTTTCCTTATAAAAAGGCTTATAATGATAATGGGTTTTGGCGAGAGACGAAAAATGCTATACTTTTTTTCGCTCCGGTTCCTTATTTAAATAGCATCAGTTAAACCCACACATCAGGGACTCCTTTATTATCTATCTGATTAACTTATGACAATAAGATAACCAAAAAATTAGAAAAAAAAATTTGGATAATATAGGCTTAAAAACAAATGGTTACTACTGGTAGAGTGTACGTTTAACCATCTGCGTTCAGGGAGTTAACGTTCGATCTCTCCCTCCCCAAATTGGCTACAAGTGTTGGAATCGTAGCAATAGATGGAGCCACTAGTTTCACCACAAGTTTGTTTGTTTGTTATGAATTTCGCACAAAGCTACACGAGAACTATCTGCGTTAGCCGTCCCTAATTTAGCAGTGTAAGACTAGAAGGAAGGTAGCTAGTCATCACCACCCACCGCCAACTCTTGGGTTACTCTTTTACCAACGAATAGTGGGGATTGACCGTCACATTATAACGCCCCCACGGCCGAAAGGGCGAGCATGTTTGGTTGGAGGGGGATTCGAACCCGCAGATTACGAGTTCAGCGCCCTAACCATACCGGGTCACCACAAGTTAATATAATATTATCATTTGGTCGTTTAGCACGATGGTGAATGAATTTCAGGAATTAGATGCTCACAATAAAAGCTGATCCTGGTATAATAGAACTAAAACAGTAACCGTTATGAATTCTCCACGACGGTCTGAAATACCAGCCATATACCAAATAATATATCTAGCATTAGAGGTGAAGAACAAAAGTTAAAATACTAACTACCATTTCGGTTTGTCTTAATAAGTACACTCTGTGGAATTCTTATTTCATGAGTACTTAGCTATAAAACAAGTCATTAACGTTAAAATGTTCGCATTAAGAAACCTTCATGTTTTTTACCTTTTTCACGAGCTCTAGAAGGTCCTTCAAAAACCCCTTTAATTCTTCGTTTTCAATTGTACCATTTCTGTCCTGTAATTAAAAAATAAATTTGTGCTTTTGAGGGAAGTTAATTAGCTTAGTAAACATTTTCAGGTGTCGATCACTGCGTTTAATTGTCAAACTGTTTACACCGAAATTTAGACTACTACACAAAAAAACAAAAAACAGACCACTTTAAAGTTTAGAAGTTTCAATACGAAAACAGAACTTACCCTGTCGTACAGTTCGCACTGAAACAGAACTTACCCTGTCGTACAGTTCGCACTGAAACAGAACTTACCCTGTCGTAAAGTTCACACTGAAACAGAACTTACCCTGTCGTAAAGTTCACACTGAAACAGAACTTACCCTGTCGTAAAGTTCACACTGAAACAGAACTTACCCTGTCGTAAAGTTCACACTGAAACAGAACTTACCCTGTCGTAAAGTTCACACTGAAACATAACTTACCCTGTCGTAAAGAGCAAACACTCTTTCGATGTCTTCCCTGGTCAACTTACTGCAACCCTGCCATAACGACAAAATGGCCCTCAGTAAACGTTGCTTCAATATAATATATAGTTAAATAACTGTAGGTTTATGTATAAAAAACTACGTTTTCAATTTGCGACAGTACCGGCGCTGTAAGTGGGGGAGGGGGCGACAAATAGTGTACCAGGGATCCCCCAAGTTTTCAATATTCGTTTTATTAATGTGTATATTGTTTTTGATCAATTCTGCATTTAATTTTTTTAACATATTCACTTTTTTATGTTTACCACAAATGAGGTAAGGGCCCCCTATTAGAAGTCTCTGGACCAGGGCCACAGAAAATCTGGCGCTTGTTTTGCGTGCGTGTCTTTCAACAAAAGACTAGGGAGGCAGCGAAATAACAATGTCGAGTGAGTTTGTTTGAAGTTATGCACAAATTTACATAATGGGCTATCTGAGCTCTTCCCACCACGGGTATCGAAATCCGTTTTTTTTTTTGCGTTGTAAGTCCGCAGACATACCGCTGTGCCACTAGAGGGCGTCGAGTGAGTTTTATTTGCAGTTCTTGCAAAACTACACGAAGACAATTCTATTCTATCATTTCTAGTTTAAGAGTGATACACTAAGAGGGGGAAGGCAGCTTAGTCGACACCAACTACCGCTAATCTATGGGGTACTTTTTTTATCCATAACTTCCTTGTCCATGAGCATTCACAGGGGGGGGGGGGGGGTCAAGGGGCACCCCCCCGAAAAATTTCTGTAGACCCCCCCCCCATGTCCTTGTCTAGTTGAATTTTACATGATGCTATTCTCTCTCGAAAGGAAGCGAGAAATAAATAAGCATACATACCTAGCTATATGCTAGAGAATCTAATAAGCGTTAGGCCCGTGAACAAGCTATATGAAACGTATCGTTCTAAAAGCCACAAAAAATAAACATTTCAAGAACAATTATAGCTGCAGCCACAGGCGTAACCCGAAAATGAAGGAGGTGGGAGACCCAAATCAGCCAGAATCGTAACTACAATTATTGTAAGGGACTCAATTACTTTTTATGGGCATCTTTTGTAGTTACGCCATTGGCTACAGCTGCAGTCCTGCTACAAAATTTGATAAAATAACCACGCTACAACCATGTATATATTACATACATTCGATAACAGTTAGACAACTTTTTCAATAAAGTTTGTTTTCAAGTATAAATAAGTTTTTATTTACTTATTTTTGATTTCTGTTCTCTCACTTGTCACACTGCAAACAGGCCTTACGTGTTGATAAATACGACCACTGTTTTAAGTTTAATCACACAGGCCTTACGCGTTAATAAATATGACCACAGTTTTAAGTTTAATCACACAGGCCTTACGCGTTAATAAACATGACCACAGTTTTAAGTTTAATCACACAGGCCTTACGCGTTAATAAACATGACCACAGTTTTAAGTTTAATCACACAGGCCTTACGTGTTAATAAATATGACTTACTTTGAAAACTGATCGACAGAGGAAGTTTTCTTTGACTGGAAGCAGTCTACAAAACAAACCCGAAATAAGTATTAACACAACACTCACCAGAAAGGTAAAACTCCATACATAATTACATAATCAATACTTAAAGCTGGTCAAAGTGTTCAAGAAAATGTTTTATTGAATTTGTAGACGTCCTTATCCTAAACAATAAGTCTCCAGAGACTTGTTATCCTAAATAATAAAGTATCCAAGTGTTCAGAGACCTGTTATCCTAAATAATAAAGTATCCAAGTGTTCAGAGACTTTTTATTCTGTCTGTTTATCTATCTCTCCAAGTT